TCTTAGGTATTTATGTTTTCTACAGGTCTGCATGTATTTTGCTTTGGAAACTGTTCTCAGTTGATTTCTGTAGCTTTCATTGTTTGAACGTGCTTATGACTTCCAAATCGTCCTTAAATACTATTTTATGAACTCCACTCATAAATCCCTTTGCATTATTAGAGCTCTTAGTAGAATAGTTAAAACTCAGTAAAATCAGTAGTATACTAATTACCTTTTCTTGACCTCTTCAAAATGTTCACATCAAAATCCCTCTTTATTCTTATATTCTTTCTTTCTTTCTTTCTTTCTTTGGTCTTGGAATTGAGAAGATTTCCATTCAATGCTTTTTTTTTTTTTTGCCTCTGACAAAAAATAAATAAAATGATAAAATGTCATTTTATTTTTTTGGCCGTAAAGAGTACATATGAAGATCCCTTTTAAATACTCTACCATAATGTGCTGTAGATCAAAGATAGGTACTTGAATCTGATCTAAGTTTTGTTTGGCTAATAAATAGCCCAAAAAAATTGCCATTATAAATAGTGAAATAAAAGGCTTCTTTCAGAATTCAGACGTCTATTAAGAAGAAAAGGAGACTCAAAGTTTGGCGTATCATGTAATAACTAAAAATTTAAGTGGATGAAAGGATAATTAGGAAGTAACCTGCAAAAAATATCATGTTTGATTAAGGCCTTAAAAATACATCGTGGGGGGACCAGCAGTTAGTGTAATGGCTATGTCGCTGGACTCCCATGTAGTCGACCGCAATTCGAGTCGTGGACTCGGTGGCTTAAACTCACGCTGGGGGCATGTGCGTGCATGCCCAAGATCCTGAGAGGAGAATGGAGGAGAAGGGATTGCGAGCGCATGTGCCCTATAGCAAAAACCTCTCTTTAAAAAAAAATGCATTGTAGGAGGACCAGCAAATGGCATAATGGTTACGTCACTGGACTCCTACGTAGTTGACTCCTGGTTTGCATTCTGGTTCTGGCGGCTTAAAGCTCACACTGGGCATGTGTGTGTGCACATGCCCCAAATCCCAAGAATAAACTGGAGGAAAAGGGATTTTAGTATGGAAATTCTCCCTGGGGAGTGATTTCTCACTTTCTCTTTCTCTGTCTCCCCACCGAGCACACAAACCCTATAGCAAAAATCTCTCTCTAAAATAAAAAAAGAAATATATTGTAGGGACCAACAGATGGTGTAATTGTTACTTTGCTGAAGTTCCACATAGTTGACTGCAGTATGAGTCCAGATACAGCAAGCTAAAATGCACACCGGACACGTGTGCATGTGTGCCCAATATCCTGAGAGGAGAATGAAGGAGAAGGGATTGTGGTGCTGCTAGAACCTGGGGGATGCTTTCTTGCTTTCTGTCTCTCTGCCTCTCTGTCTCTCTGGCAAGTGTACATACCCTATAGCAAAAATCTCTCTTAAAAAAAGACATTGTAAGAGGCCAGCAGGTGGCATGGTAGTTAAGGCACTGCACTCCCACATAGCTGACCACAGTTGAGTCTCAGGCTTGCTTTTTCGCTTTCCCTTTCTCTGTCTTTCTGTCTCTCTCTGGTTAAATTAAAAAATAATAACAAATATAAATAAATAATTTTAAAAATACATGGTAAGAAGACAGAATAATTTTTTTTAATGGTAAGGAGGCAGGCTTCTGGAGAATTAATGGGAACTTCTTATTGGTAGTATAATTGATAGATTCAAAGATGAATAAGAGTTGAGTGTTCGTTCAGTAATAATATTTAAAAATCTTTCTTTTTTTTTTTAAAGAGAGATTTTTGCTATAGGGCACATGCACTCATTGGAGAGAGAGAGACAGAAAGCGAGAAATCACCCCCCCCCCCCCCCGGGCGGGCGGTGGTCACCACATCTTTTCCTCTATTCTGTCTTGGGATCTTAGGCATAAGTCACGTGCACCCAGCATAAGTTTTAATTCGCCGGGTTCAGGACTCAAACTATGGTTGACTGTGGGAGTCCAGTGACATAACCATTAAGTCATCTGCTGGGTTTCAAAAGTCTCATTTTTCAAATTACTGCTGAAAGCAACTAAGTATCAAATGAGTCTAACAGTGGTGAATGCACCCTGTGTTCTATACCTAAAAAAACTTAACATAGGCAGATCACCAAGGCAGGCTGTACTTAAGGATTGAAGGAATAGCAAGGATAAAATTTTGGAATTATTAGTTATAATAACAAGTTATAAGTAGGGGTGGAAGAAAAAGTCTTGGAGAAGTATTACTTTTTATGTGTTCTGATCAGGTTCCAGGCTTCTTCTGAAGCTAGAATTATTTACAGATTACTCCAGAAGCCCTCAGCTTTAGCTTACTATACTGTTACTCTGATCATGTCTTTCCCTGCCGGGGGCTCTGTATAGTTTTTCAGGATAAAAGATCATATTCCTTAGGTTGATACCCAAGAGAGAAAGCACTCCCCAATGGGGCATGGTCACACCTCAGTCTCCTTTCCTCAGTTTCTCCATCTCATCAGGATTTGGGGCCCTGGATGTTTTTAGCCACCAGGACTAGGGACTCAAACTGTAATCAGCCATGTGGGATCTGACTCCCAGTGCATAGAGCCAGCACCACCATCGCCCCCGCCAAGGTCTTTTGAACTGGTCCTTGGCTGACTTATCTGCTGTCATCTCTGCCCCCTCCTTTTTACCTTTAATTAATTTCTCTGATTTTTAGCTGTTTTTCTTTTTCTTTCTTTTTTTTTTTTTTAGGTTTTTGCCACAGGGTTTGTGTGCTTGCTGGAGAGATAGAGAGAGACAGTGAGAGGGAAAGTGAGAAATTACCCCCTATGGAGGAATGGGGGGCCACACTGCAGTCTCTACTCTTCCATTTCCTTCCTGGGATTTTGGATACACACATGCACCCAGTGTAATTTTCATGCCACTGGGTCCAGGACTTGAACCACAGTCTACCATGTGGGAGTTCAATGCCTTAACCACCATGCCACCTACTGGCCCCTTAGCAATTCTTTTTAATTCTGTGCTTTCTAACCTTCAGTTTAAGCCACCAGGTGTGTGTGGCCAGCCCACATGCCCTATGGCAAAAGCAAAAACAACAACAGAGTTGTAAACCATTAATAGTGTAAGTACCACTAAGTTCTAAGGCAACATTTTGAATAAAAGGTAGGATTAGAATTATGAAAAGACCCATTCTAGTGGGGGCTATGATATTGTAAAATATGGATAGATCATATTGTGTATGCCTAAGGGAAAGATTAACCTCCAATTTAGGTTTACTACCACATTGGCCAACAGGAATTAACCAAAGTAAGGTGCAGGAAAGATTGAAAGGAATAAAGAAATTGAGAAAGGGATATATATATATATATGAATGTTAGGCCAGGGAGCTTACACGTCGAAAATGATGGGTGAGTTGCTACTTCCAGTTCTATCTGTAGTTTGGTAAGTCACTGTCACTTAACCTACCAGGCCAGAATGTTGATCTTACTCCACTTAGGTTTTTTCAGGTACAAATCTTGATTGCTTGTGAGGTTTCCTGTTACCTAATATTACTAACATTTCTAAGGCTCTGTTTTAGCTCAGCACCAACATAATTTTGAACTTTGGAATGAATACTTCACATTTAAGTCAAGGTCCATATAGCCCTTGGTCCTCCTTAAATTATTTCTACGACTTCTCCCCACCCGTGTTTAGTGTTCCCAGTACTGGTGGGCATAATAAATAATGTTTGGTTGTTCAGTATTTTCTTTTTATCATAGGGGAAACTATATGAGGGGTCTTCAAAAAGTTTATTTTAGAATGTGTACTATAGAGTTCTCTTTCCCACTATACAAGATGGCAAGTGAAAAAGCTATAAGCCAGGTCCTAAGGAGAAGAAACCTGATGCCAAGAAGTCTGATGCCAGTGGTGAGGTTAAAAAGGGTGACCCCAAGGCTAGAAAGCTAAGAAGGGGAAGCTCCCATTGCAGCCAAAACATGGTCCTAGTCCATGGCATCGGCAGATACTCCCGATCTGCCATATATTCCAGGAAGGGCATGTACAAGAGGAAACACTTGGCCACTAAATTCAGGATTGAAAAGAAAAAGGAGGAGAAGGTTCTTGTGACTGTCACAAAACTAGTTGAGAGGACAAGAATGGTGGTACCCAGGTGGTTAAACTTCACAAAATGCCTAGGTATTATCCTACTGAAATGTGTCTTGAAAGCTGTTAAGCCACCCCGTTCAGTGAGCATGTGAGAAAACTGCGAGCTAGCATTGCTCTCAGGACCATTCTGATCACCCTCCCTGGACGCCACAGAGGCAAGAGAGTAGTTTTCCTAAAGCAGCTGAGCAGTGGCTTGCTACTTGTGACTGGACTTCTAGTTCTCAACTGAGTTCCACTGAGTAGAACACACCAGAAATTTGTCATTGCCACCTCCATGAAAATTGATATTAACAAAGTAAAAATCCCAAAACACCTCACTGATGCTTACCTCAAGAAAAAGAAGCTGCGGAAGTCCAGACACCGGAAAAGTGAGATCTTCAACATAGAGATGGAGAAATACCAGATTACTGAGCAGTGCAAGGTTGACCAAAAGCTGTGGACTCGCAAATTTTACCGGAAATCAAAGCCATTCCTCAGCTCCAGGGCTACCTGTGATCTTTGTTTGCCCTTACAAATGGTGTTTATCCTCACAAATTGGTATTCTAAATTTCTTGCCAAGAACCTAATTAAATAACTGATTATATATATATTTTTAAGAAGGTGTATTATGAAAAAATATGCTTGGATTTAAAAAAATATTTTGTACCCAAACAAAGTTTCGTTTTTATTTTCCATGAACTTTTTGAAGTACCCTCATAGCTGAACTTAAGAGTGGAAATTTATTTTACATAATTAAGCAAGAGTTTTGTTATGGCATGGAATTAGATGGGATATCCACAGAGCCTACTTGGAGTGTATTTGTACAGCCAGTATTTTAGTGTACTTACCATTTTACATTGATTAAGAGATAATAATGAATGGAATTCTGTTTGATGTACTTTTTTTTCCCTCCCAGACCAGAATCTGTAGAAGCTAGCCCTGTGGTAGTTGAGAAATCCAACAGTTATCCCCACCAGTTATATACCAGCAGCTCGCATCATTCACACAGTTACATTGGTTTGCCCTATGCGGTAAGTGTCAAACGTTTCTCTGAAAGGGTACTTTTAAAATTTAGTGGTTGAAAGTAGATGTACATGGTATTATGCTTAAAACTGCATATTTCAAAATCACAGTTTCATACTGTCTAAATAATTGGATATATAATTTACAGTTTAATTTTGTAATTAATATAAACATATTATTTAAGGGATTAAAATTCTATACATTCCCAGTTTTGTGAATATTTTACCCTTTATGCTACTAAGTTTGATGTTATATTTATTTACTCTCTCTATGAAAAGACTATAGGTAAAGTTTTATTATCCTATCAACTATCAAATCTGAATTACAGTTGGCTCTATCTGTAGCTGCACATCTATAAATTGAAACAGCCATATACTTAAAATATTGAAAAAAATTGTGACTATATAGATTTTTTTCTTTTTTATTATTTCCTAAACAATACAGTGTAACAACTATTTATATAGTGTTCATATTGTGTTAGGTATTATAAATAATCTAAAGATTATTTCAGGTATAAAAGAGGAGGAATGTAAGTTATATCCATATTCTACATATGCTATTTTATTTATTTATTTACTTATTTATTTCAACACACTAAAGGGTATGTGTGCTCACTGGTCAGAGAGAAAGAAAATAAGAAAGTGCACCCCATGAGGAATAGCCATGTCGCAATCCTCTCTCCTGGATCTCTCCTCTCGGGATTTTGGGCACATATATACATGTGCCTGGTGTGTGTGTGTGTGTGTGTGTGTGTGTGTGTGTGTGTGTGTTTGTTTCAAGCTGCTTAATTCAGGACTCAAACTACACAGTAAGCCATATGGGATTTTGCTGCCTTAACCATCATACCACAGGCTGGCTCCGGCTTTTTTTTTTTTTTTTTTTTTTTTGAGAGATTTTCACTGTAGGGCGCGTGCGCTCGCCAGACAGACAGAGAGAGACATAGAGACAGAAAGCGAGAAATCACCCCCCAGGGGGGATGGTCACGCCGCAATCCCTTCTCCTCCATTCTCCTCTCGGGATCTTGGGCACGCACGCACACGCGCCCGGCGTGAGTTTTAAGCCACCGGGTCCGGAACACGAACCACGGTCGACTACGTGGGAGTCCAGCGACATAGCCATTACGCTAACTGCTGGTTCCCTGGCTCGTGCTATTTATAAGGGACTTAAGCATTTGAACATTTTGGTATCCACTGAGGAGTTCAGGGGGTGATCCTGAAAACAATCTTGTGTGGATCCTGACAGGCAATACTATGTAGTAATTTATATTATAAATTATATAGTTACCGTTACTGAGCACTTCTTTTGTGCCAGGCTTTCTGCTAAGTATTTTTACATATATTGCCTCATTTAATCCTCAAAAACAACCTCATGAAATATAGTTCTCATCTCTATTTCATAACTGAGAAAATGAAATTTTATCTTAAATTTAGTATTGCATAGCTGGTAAGAAGCAGAGTTTAGATTCAAACATAGTTGCAGAACTGTATACATTGTAATAATGAAAGTATAATTATGAGATTTTTTTCATCTTGTACCCCCAGGATAAAAATGATAAAATAAAAATATCCCCTAATATGTACTTTATGGTGATTAATACCTATTTTGTGATTTTTTTTTTAGTCTCCATACTCATGATTTTGTTCTTATTTTATTATTTTTTTTAGAATTATTTAACTTTATTTTTAATTTGATCAGAGAAGGACAGTGTGAGAGCAAGACAGAGAGAGAGAGAGAGAAAGCAGACCATTAGGTCAAACAGTGGTTGGCCATGTGGGAGTACAACATCCTTAACTGCCACGATACCTGCCGGCCCCTTGTTTTTATTTTAAACCTCTATTCTCATACCTTGCATGTTCTTTCATCCTGAAGGTGTAACTGTGTGACCATAGCTATGTAACCAGCTGTGAGGATATCTTCTGATTTGTGGGGGAGGGAATGAAGTTTGGGTTATGAAAATGACACCCTCGTCTACCTCCTGGATAGATGTATTCACTTATTACTGTAGTTTAATATCTATATTCACCATATAATTAAAGATAGTAAGGAATAAATGGGCCAACTTTATATCCCTTGAGTATTTTTGGAAAGGGTTGAATTTTACTTACATTACTTAGTTCATATTGGTGATGATATTGTGCTGTATTTGTGTTCAATTTCCAGGACCATAATTATGGTGCTCGTCCTCCTCCAACACCTCCGGCTTCCCCTCCTCCATCAGTTCTCATTAGCAAAAATGAAGTAGGCATATTTACCACTCCTAATTTTGATGAAACTTCCAGTGCTACTACAATCAGCACATCCGAAGATGGAAGTTACGGTACTGATGTAACCAGGTGCATATGTGGTTTTACACATGATGATGGATACATGATCTGTTGTGACAAATGCAGGTAAAATATTTCACACCTTTAATTTATTTTTCTTGAATGCTGCTAACCTTTGTGAATGTTAAAAAAGATAACTAAAAGCATGATTGAGGGAATTAACACACTTGAAAAAATGGAACTTCTGCCACTATTCATGCAGCCTATTTTGTTCCTAGGGAAAAAAAAATAACGCTTTGGGAAAAAATAAAAAGCTATCTTGGAGTTTATTAGAAATCCCCATTTATAAATTGAGTAATAGGTAGTCAGTTTGAGCTTTATTCATGTAGGATCACCTCTCTCTTTTCACTTAGTTCTATAGTAACACTGTACATGAAGTGGTAGACAAGTTAGAAATGAAAAGGACATTGAGTCCTTTGTATTTCCTTAGGAATTATTTGTGCTGTATAGTGAACTGTGATTTTCCAGTTTGGGGGAATTAAACATTTTGATTGATGTTTGTTTGACCTGACTCTCTCACCTCCTTTTGACTTGAACCTTGCAGCACTCTGGAGTCTCCTTGAACCAGAACCACAGTCTCCCCTCCCCCAACCCTGGTTCAACCACCAAGAAAGGCCTCTTCCCCTAGAGAAGGTGTGATTGGGACAGAAAGTGGGATTTTGTTTCTTTTCTTTTGTTTGTTTTTTTGGTTTTTTTTTGTTTTGGTGGGAGGGATTTGGGGATGATGGAGAGGGAACAGTAGGAAATCAGCCTGAAAGTTATTGAGTCCATCCCCCTGTGTAGGGTGGGGAGTAGAGAGTATTTAAGTGCAGTGCTTTGTACAGGGCAAAAATATTTGGTAGGTTTAAAGAATTTCTTGGGTCTAGTCCTTATGGCTTAGCTTCATTGTCTGATTTGAAGTAATATAGCACATACCCATATTTGAATGTGAGTATAAAAATACATCCTAAAACCAAAAGTAAATGACTTTATATTACTTATAATATTGTTCCCATCTATTAGATTAGACGATTAGGAGTTGGATATTGATACAAAGATGCATTTAGGTTATATTTCAAAAGTTCATTTACTTTTGCTAAAAAGTGGGAAATTAAAGTGTTAAGTGGAATGTGATATTTGGTATTATTTTTATGGAAATTTGTAATGCTGATACTCTTGGGGCCCACAGGTGGCATGGTGGTTAAGGGCGCTGGACTCCCACATGGCCAACCGCGGTTCGAGTCCCGGACCTGGCGGCGTGCTTTCTCACTTTCCATCTCTCTCTGTCCCTCTCTGGTCAAATTAAAAAATAAATAAATAAATAAAGTTATATAAAATAATTCTTAAAAATAGATAGTGATATTTTAATAATGCAAACATTGTGATACCTTGTCATATTTAAAAATAAATTCTCATTACCTATGACATATCTTTACTATAAGTTATTTCCTCAGTACATTTATTCAGAAGGTAAATTTGAAGACAAATTTAGCTTCAGTGACACCTCACTTTCCTCATATTAGAAAATGTCAGTTCATATGATAGCCAGTCATATAAAAGAACTGCCTTTTAGCTTATCTTTTCTAATGTGAAAAAGTATATATCATTCAGCAATATTTTTAATTCATAACCTAAGCAATGTTTTTCTTTTGATTCATTTACAATAATCTCTGTGTAATATACATTTATATTAGAGAATAGTGAAATTGTCCCTAGGATTTTTAATATCCATCTACTAATTCTTAAAAGGACTAATTTATAGTTTTTTAATTATTCAAGGTATTTATTTCTATGACCACTCTCTGTTTTAAATCTGTTTTTCATTCTTTTGTTTTTCTCTCATTCAACCTCTAATAAACTGTCAGGCTTAATCTTTTTTCTTCTACTCATATTAATACACTATCTTGTCATTTTTTTTGTGTTCCTACTGTTTATACTCTTCTCTTTAAATGTGACACTTACAGTTCTGATTATTAGCTTTGTTTCTTTTACTGTATGCATGATATCATTATTTACCTCGTAAACTTAACTTGTTTTTTCTTACCATTATTATTTGTTATTTAGGCCCTCCTTTTCTTTTTCACTTCTTTGTTTTATATTCTGTTGCTTCATATTATATGAGTTGTCCAACATTCTCAGTTGAGAAGTAAAGAACACAGTAGCATTAGTTTAGTAGTTACAAATTAGCTAAGTAGCTAATTATTAGGTAAACAACAGCTAAGACAGTATTTTGGAAACAGGCATGTATATCAACTTTGGATGAATTAAAGTCTTGGCAATAAAATACAATAATAATAGGAAAATTTAGAAGTTTGCCTCAAGTTGGTCCATGTTTCTCTTAAAAGTAATTAGGTTTAATCTCTGTCCTCATGGAATGTGTTTTATATTCTTTGACCTCTTTTTATCTGCTATTATTCTAGTTCTGGCCTTCATTAGCACAAGTCTAGAATGGTGGAATAAGCTTCTTAGTTGGTCTTTCTACTTCCAGTTTAACTTCTTTGAAGTAATATTGTATACCACCAAAGTACCACTAATCATTACCTGTTGACAGGGGAAGTCTATCTCCTCCCAACTTTCCAAGATCTATTTAATCTGACTACATTTCACTAACCCAACTTATCCCCTTCTTTTTCTCAGAATGAATATTCTTCTTCATATTTACTGACTATTTTCTAGCCACCTTTTCCCTATATTTGTTAATTAATTAATATTGTTTCAATGATGGCTTTTCTTCCTATTTCCAAATGAGATTCTATTCCAAGTCCATTCTCCAGGGTGTGTTTCCCATTAACTCCAAGTAGTGTGTGGGAACATTTCTACTTTGTGATTTCTAAAACTTTGTACCCTATACCTTTTACATTTGGAAATCATATTTGCTTTAGAAATTTACATATCCTGTTTTTGTTTTGCTTTGCATCTTTAAATTTTACTTCCTGAGGACACATTCCTATCAATTTTTCAAGCATGTTTTAGAGCTCAAAGTAGGCACTTATGAAGTGATAGTTAAATGAATATCAAATCTTAATTTAAGGATGATTTTAATAATATTTTATATGTTCTGATTTTTTTTAAAGTGTTTGGCAACATATTGACTGTATGGGGATTGACAGGCAGCATATTCCTGATACATATCTATGTGAACGTTGTCAGCCTAGGTAAGTTGCACATACCAGTAAAATTGCCAGTAATTTTACAGAGCTAGTCTGTAGTTAACATCAATTGATTTATGAATTCTAGATTAAATAATAAATCACTATGTAGTTCATCAATTCAAAGATGTACTTTTTCATTTTTATCTTTACTGTTATTGTTGTATTCTGACACCTCTAAAATCAGGACTCTTTCCATTGATGGTGTGCCACAGTTAACTTTGTAGAGTTTTTACTTTATTAATGATGCATACAATAATAGTGCATCTTCTGAATTTTGGTGCTTTTTTTTTTCCCCATTGGAATGCACTATGTTAAAAGAGTAAGAGAATATTCACTTTATTATATAATTTGGTAGAGCTATTATTTCTCCTATTTGAAGTATTGTTTTCCACATCTTTTTTTTTTTTTTTTTAAGTTTTGCCATAGTGCTTGTCAGAGGGGGGAAAGTGAGAGATTACCCCTCAATGGGGGATGGCCACGCCACATTCCCTTCTCCTCCATTCTCTTCTTGGGACTTTGGGCATGCACACACACACATCTGGCATGATTTTCAAGCAGCAGGATCAGGACTGAAATTATGCCGTTGACCACGTGGGATCCGGCTGCTTTAACCTTCCTGCCACTTGCTGGCCCTTTTTTGTTTGTTTTAATCTTTCTATATGGACATTTCAAACTGATTTTTAAAAAAAGTATTATGAACCCACATATTTCTACCACTCTGATTGATTGTTGTCAGCCATCTTTTTCATCTATACTGACATATGTTTCTTCTCCCCTTCACATATTATTTTAAAGCAAATCACAAATGGCATATTATTTCCTCTATATGTATTCATTGTTTTAAACGTGTGTATATTCATCTGTGTATATGTATTATATATCTGTAAAATAATTCTTTATTTAAAACAAAACCCACAGGGGACCAGCGGATGGCGTAATGATTACGTCGCTGAACTCCCACGTAGTCGACCGCGGTTCGAGTCCTGGACCCGGTGGCTTAAAACGCACGCCGGGTGTGTGTGCGTGCGTGCCCAAAATCCCAAGAGGAGAATGGAGGAGAAGGGATTGCGGCATGGCTATCCCCCCAGGGGATGATTTCTTGCTTTCTGTCTGTCTGTCTCCACCTTTCCTGCAAGCACACGTGCCCTATGGCAAAAATCTCTCTCTCAAAAATTAAATAAATAAATAAATAAATCTAAACTAAAACAAAGCCCACAGAACCATTATTATGCATGCAATAAAATCTCCATGTTATCATTCAGCCATAATAATGCTTGGTTGATATACATCTCTTAAGTCTTAAGTAATCTAAACCCCTTTCTTCCCTCTAACACCCTTGGCTATCTTTACAGTGTGTTTAAGGAACTCACTTGTCCAAAACTTCAAATGAATTTTGTTGGCTGCATTCCTATGATTTCACAACTTTCTCTGGCCTCAGTATGTTTTTTTTTTAATTTGACCTCAGTATTTTTTATAAAAAGATGTGTCTAGAGGCTTGGTCAGGTTCACATTTAGATTCAAAAATTTTTTTTCATAAGGCTAATTCATAGAGTGTGTGTTCTATCAGGCGGCACTTTATATCTGGTTATCTCTGTGACGGGAAACACTGGTAGTTATTCTTTAGATCCATTAATTTATTAGGGGCTACAAGTTAGTGATATGTTGATTCTGTTTATCAGTTATTAACTGGAATATTTTTTATAGAAACAAACTTCTTCATGCTAATTATTTGGTTCTCTAGGTATGTTTCAGTGAGGAAAGGCAGAGTAATGCTCAGATTCTCACCTTTTATTATTTTCAGAATAATGAAAAACATTTAAGTATCAGTATGAACTTAAAGAATTAAACCTAGTGTTTGTCTTTCTATTGTCGTAACTATCCTTATTTATGTTTAAATTTTGCTTTATTTTGGTCAGTGGGAACACGTTTCATGTTGGCTTTCAGGTCCTTTTAGCATTACTGGGGTGATTCTTCAAGCTCCATTGCTATCTGATATTAGGCTTATCGTATATTTTTGTGGCCCAAGTTCAGAATTGGCTCTCAAGACCAGAATCTAGGAGCTAGTAATGCTCCTTCTTGTTAGGCTGGTTACTGTTTTTAGTCTTTTTAATATTTTTAAAAATAATTATTTAATTATATTTATTATTATTATTATTTAATTTGCTGTAGGGCACATGCACTCACCATAGAGAGACAGAGAGAAAGAAAGAGAGGGAAAGTGAAGAAGCACACTTTTAGGTCTAGGACTTGAACCTCAGTTGGCCATGTGAGAGTCCAGCACCTTAACCACCATGCCACCTGTCGGCCCTTCTATTTTTTTAAAAAAAGATTTTTATGTAACTTTATTTATTTATTTATTTTCAGTTTTGACCAGAGAGGGACAGAATAGAGGTAGGGGAAATGAGAAAGCAAGCCGCAAGGTCCGGGACTCAAACTGCATTTGGCCATGTGGGAGTCCAACACCCTTAACCACCATGTCACCTGCTGCCCCCACTCCCCATTCTTTTTAATATACAAAGGTGGGAAGTATATTTCTTTTTTTTCCCAAAAAATGTATTTAATTTTTTAATTTCCTGTAGGTCACGCACACTCGTCAGAGAGTGAGAGAGAGAGAAAGTAACAAAGCAAGCCACCAGGTCCAAGCCTCAAACTGCAGTGGGCTATGTGGGAGTCCAGTGCCTCAATCACTAAGCCACCTGTTGGCCCTGTCTGTTTATGTTTGTTTTTGAGATAAATACATGAGTTTATACTAATAATTGGAATTCAGATTTAAAAACACAAGTTTTTTATATTACATCCGTATCTCCTTTTATCCAAGTTCTCCAAAACACATAGAATAATATAATTTAAATATTATATAATTACTCAATTGCTTAATTCCACAGTAGAATACAACAGTCAGCATATCACTATGAACACTAGCACCACAACATGATTACAGTAAAGCAGGTTAGGGCTTCTTTTTCCATAGAGTATAGTCCACACAGGATATAATGCCAATTTATTGTGTTGAAAGTCCCTTGAAAGAATTTTACAGTGTGACTGAAACACCAACTGAATGTACATTTATGTCATTTAGGTTATTAGTTTTAATTTGCTTTTCATTTAAAAAAAATTAAACCCTTTGGGGCCAGCCAGTGGCATGCTGATTAAGGTGCCTCAGCCCCACCTGGCCAGCTATGTGGTTCCAGTCTCAGACCTGGAGGCTTGAGAAACACACTGGACACATGTGCATGTCCAAATGGAGAGGAGAATGCAAGAAAAAGAGTTACAGCAATCTACCCAGGGGGTGATTTCTCACTTTCCCTATGGCAAAAAAACAAACAAAAAACTTTATGAGTTGAAGATTTACATTCAGTTGTGAAATATTGCAGAGAGATCCTATGAGTCCTTTACTTCTCTGTAATAACATCTTGCAAAACAGTTAATGTAACATTACATCTAGGATATTGACACTGGTACAGTCAAGATATAGAACATTTTTCATCAACACAAGGATCCCTCATGATAGCTTTGATAGTCACATCCACTTCATACCCCCCAACCCTCTCATGCCTGGCCTTTGGCAGTCACTAATGTATTCTCCATTTCTATAATTTTGTTTCAAGGGTGTTACATGAGGGACCAGCATTTAGTGTAATGGCTATGTCGCTGGACTCCCATGTAGTTGACTGCAGTTCGAATCCCGGACCCAGTGGCTTAAACTCACGCCGGGCGTGTGTGCGTGCGTGCCAAAGATCCCAAGAGGAGAATGGAGGAGAAGGGATTGCGATGTGACCATCCCCCCTGGGGGGTGATTTCTCACTTTCTGTCTCTCTGTCTCTCTCTGTCTGTCTGGCGAGCGCACGCACCCTATAGCAAAAACCTCTCCCCCCCCAAAAAAAGAAGAGCGTTACATGAAATCATAGTATGTATCATTCTGGGGTTGGCTTTTTCACTCACCATTGATTTCCAGGAGAACTCATCCAATTTGTTACATGTGTCATCATTTCATGCTTTTTATTGTTGAGTAAGTACTCTATGGTGTTCATGTACCTACAATTTGCTTAACCATTCACCTACTGAAGGACATTGGGTTATTTCCACTTTTATGGCTGTCACAAATAAAATTGCTGTGAACATTTGTTTACAGATATTTGGCATGAACCCTGATTTTCTTTTTTCTGGGATAAATGCTCAAGAGTATAATAGCTCAGTTGTATGGTAGTTACATATTTAGTTTTATAAGAACAGTTGAATTATTTTTCAAGATGGCTCTATCATTTTACCTTTCCACCAGAAATATATGAGTAATGAAAGTTGTTTTTATTTTTAAGATTTACTTTTTTTTTTTTTTTTTTAAGATTTTTGCCATAGGGTGCATTCACCCACTGGAGAGACAGAGTGGAACAGTCAGAAATCACCCCCTAAAGGGGATGGACACACTGCAATCTCTTCTCTATTCTCTTCCTGGGATTTGGGGTACACATGCACATGCACCCAGCATGAGTTTCAAACTGCCATGTTTAGGACTTGAACTGCAGTCACCCATGTGGGAGTCCAGTACCTTAACTACTGTGACACCTGCTGGCCCCACAATTGCTTTTTATATTTTATTTACTTTTATAATTATGTAAGAAATGCTTCTGTCTGGGGCTAGCAGTTAGCGTAATGGCTATGTCGCTGGACACCCACGTAGTTGACCGTGGTTCATGTCCCGGACCCGGTAGCTTAAAACTCACACCGGGCACGTGTGCACCCAAGATCCCTAGAGGAGAATGGAGGAGAAGGGATTGTGGCGTGGCCATCCCCCCTGGGGGGTGATTTCTCGCTTTCTGTCTCTCTGTCTGTCTCTGTCTCTGTCTGGTGAGCGCATGCGCCCTATAGCAAAAACCTCTCCGAAAAAGAAAAAAGAAATGGTTCTGTCATTCTAAAGTCAAATATATGAAACAGGATATATTCAGATAACTTTTATCTCTGTTCCTTTCACCCTGAAAATCACAGTTTTAAAAAGTTGATTTTGGGGGGCTGGCAGGTGGTATGGCAGTTAAGGAATTAGACTCCCACATGGCTGACTGTGGCTCAAGTGGACCTGGCAGCTTGCTTTCTCACGTTCTCTCCCTCTCTCTGGTAAAATTAAAAATGAATAATAATAAATAAAATCAAAATAAATAACTTTTTTTTAAAAGTTGATTTTTGCTTCCATTGCATGTTTTCTTATCCTATGCAAGTGTATACCTACATATTTGTATTCTCCTCCTTACCCGGTAAGCAGTAGTAACTTTTAGAGATTCTTTACCACATGTCTTTATTAAAAAGGTATGATAGAGATCATTTTAGAATAGTGTATATAGATTGATTTGCTCCTGCAGTTTCAAAGGACTCTTTTCATGTACTACAGTTTATTCAGCCAGCCCCCTTTGAGTGATGTTTGATGTTTCTAGTCTTTTGTTATTGCAAATAGAAGTGGAATTATTCAGTTAAAGGGTAAATGTATATGTAAAATGTTATCATATTTTTCCAAATCCTCCTCCAGTAGAAACTGTGCAGTTTTGGGCAGGCCAGCAGGTCGCATGGTGGTTAAGGGTGTTGAACTCCCACATGGCCAACCACAGTTAAAAGTCCCAAGCCTGGTGACTTGCTTTCTCACTTTCTCTCTCTCTCTCTCTCTCTGTGTGTGTGTGTGTCGGTCTGTCTGTCTCACTCCCTGTCTAGTCAAATTAAAATAAGGAAAAATAAATAAAATAATTATTTTAAAAATTATTTTATTGGGACCAGCAGTTAGCGTGATGGCTATGTCGCTGGACTCCCATGTAGTCAAGCGTGGTTCAAGTACTGGACCCAGTGGCTTAAAACTCACGCTGGGCGCATGCATGTGCGTGCCCAAGATTCCGAGAGGAGAATGGAGGAGAAGGGATTGCGGTGTGGCCATCCCCCCAGGGGGTGATTTCTCGCTTTCTGTCTCTGTCTGTCTGTGTCTGTCTGGCAAGTGTATGTGCCCTATAGCAAAAACCTCTTAAAAATAAATTAAGGGAACCAGCAGTTAGCGTAATGGCTATGTCGCTGGACTCCCACGTAGTCGACCGCGGTTCGTGTCCCGGACCCGGTGGCTTAAAACTCACGCCGGGCGCGTGTGCGTGCATGCCCAAGATCCCGAGAGGAGAATGGAGGAGAAGGGATTGCGGCGTGACCATCCCCCCTGGGGGGTGATTTCTCGCTTTCTGTCTCTATGTCTCTCTCTGTCTGTCTGGCGAGCGCACGCGCCCTACAGTGAAAAATCTCTCAAAATAAATAAATAAATAAATAAATAAATATTATTTTATTTAACTTTATTTATCTATTTATTTACTTATTTATTTAAATTTGACCAGAGAGGGAGAGTGGGAAAGAGAGAAAGAGAGAGAGAAACTGAGAAAGTGAGTCATCCATGTGGGAATCCAGCACCTTTATCATCCACCACATCACCTGCTGGCCCACCCATTCCATAATGAATAAGTATGCCTTTTTGCCTAAGCCTAACAATAATGTGTTTGGCAGACTTCAATTTTTGCCAATTTAATTAAGTGACAAATGGTAATCTCAGTATAGTTATACTTTGCTTTTCTCTTACTGTGAGTGAGATTTTTCTGTGTGGTTTATGATAGTTATTAGCCTTTTGCCAGATAGTTTTTAATAGGTTAGGTAACTAGTGATGAATGTATTAAGAGCTGGTTAAAATTTGACCATCAGGAGAGATCTGCTTATAATTCTGTAATAATTAGGATATTATATCTGTGATGCTAGAATAGTCACATGTCCTAGCAGACAAATTGAGGCTGGTCTACCAAGTTGTAGACATTTTAGTCTAGAGCCCGTCTAAGAATAATCTAATATTATTTGGCCTCTAGATCAGTAAGTATATGCAGTGGAAAAGTCGGGAGAAAAAGTAAAGGAATTACTATGAATGATAAAGTTTATGGGAAGAGACTGGAAGAAATAATCATGGTATTAATGCAGTAGATCCTAATTCAGTATTATTAATTACATTGTTAACAATAGCATTTTTTTTTCCAGGCTTTTTGCTTTAAATATTCAATTTGATAAAGGTGCCAGTTTCCTATGTAAAAAATTGAGTTATTTAACTTGTATCTACTTAATACTGAATCATAACCAAGCTGAAAGACAGGATATTACATATATTTACCCTGTTGGTTTTTCACTAAGAACATTAAAGAAGTTGTAAAGTTTATCACATTAAAAACTTATCTCCTTTATATCCAAATGTTATAAAAGTTTGATAAATTATTGTGTTTATGTTTTAACATAGGAGTTTGGATAAAGAGAGGGCGGTGCTATTACAACGCCGGAAGAGGGAAAATATGTCAGGTGGGTAAAAAAGACCTACAATAAATTAAGATTAATATGATTAAGAGAGTAAGCAACTTTCATTTAGATGTAAACACTTTATGAATAAATGTTGATTATAGCTTACAATCTCAAGTGCAGATTTTTTTTTTTTTTGGAGAGGTTTTTGCTATAGGGCACGTGTGCTCGCCAGAAAGAGAGAGAGAGAGAGAGACAGAAAGCGAGAAATCACGCCCGGGGGGGGGATGGCCACGCCACAATCCCTTCTCCTCCATTCTCCTCTCAAGATCTTGGGTACGTACGCTCACGTGCCCAGCATGAGTTTAAGCCACCGGGTCCAGGACTTGAACCGCCGTTGACTGCATGGGAGTCCAGCAACATAACCTTTATGGTAACTGCTGATCCCTCAAGTGCAAGTTTTAATTATTTCTTAGGGATTGTGGCAGTATTATGTTTATTTTAGTAAATATAGAAACTAGAGGAAAATAAAGTAAATTTTAAAGTTAGATCATTCATATAAGTCACTGTTGGGTTATTGGAAAAGTCATGATGCACTTTAGCATAGAAAAATACATTATGACTTTTCCAGCAGCCCAATCGCTGTAGTTTAAAGAAGTAAAATATGTTTGTTCTTCAGAAAGATAGTGGTCCATTAGTTTTTCATGTAGAATAGTATTTCTTTCATTTTTAAGAACAGAATTTTTAAAATTCTATATAATATACACCTGTTTTCATTTGGGCTTGAAATGTGTTGATACCAATACAACTGGTGTTAAATAGTCATAGTTTATTTAACCATCTCTCTTTGATGGACATTTGGGTTATTTCCAGAATTGTTTTTATTTTGTATTATTTTTGTTATTGCTGGTATACCTTCAACAATTGAAATTCTCCACTTAAGTTTCTTTTGTACTTTTTCTTTATTTTTGGCTAAATCCCTAGAAATGCATATATAGTTTTACTAGCTAAGGCTAAATATATAGGGAATTTCGTATTGCCACTGGCAATGTGTGAAAGTGCCCATCTGACATCACCACAGTTATGTGATGGACCTTGTAATTTATTAAGTCAGGATATTTGTAGTTTATATTGAAACATATCCTTTTATGAGATGAGTGAAGAAGTAAAAATATTTGTTTATCCTTTAAACAAATGGATATAACAATACTTCATAATGTGTAATGCTGTTTTATTGCTTTGAAATAGGAAAATTATGTGTACAATAACTTTTTCTGTATCTTTCAAGATGGTGATACTAGTGCAACTGAAAGTGGTGATGAGGTTCCTGTGGAATTATATACTGCATTTCAGCATACTCCAACATCAATCACTTTAACTGCTTCAAGAGTTTCCAAGGTTAATGATAAAAGAAGGAAAAAAAGTGGGGAGAAAGAACAAAACATTTCAAAGTGTAAAAAAGTAAGTTTTTGCTTTTACTAGAAGAGTAGATAGGATAATAGCTAAGGAGCCGAATTTAGCAAGAAAAGCAGGAGAGTGAAATAATAATAGCTAAAAAGAATGTTTTGATCTAGAAAAAGGTTTTTTTTTTTAACATTTTAAACAAAACTTTTTTTTTAAAAGAGAGAGTTTTGCTATAGGATGCATGTGCTTGCTGGAGAGACAGAGAGACAGAAAGTGAGAAATAGCCCCCCACCCCCCCGGGGGAATGGCCACACTGTAGTCCCTTCCTCCATTTTCCTCTTGGGATTTTGGGCACATGCACATACACACCTGGCGTGAGTTTCATGTCACCAGGTCTGGGACTTGAACTGTGGTCAGCCATGTGGGAGTCCAGCACTTTAACCACTATACCACCTGCTAGCCCCCAGCAGCATATATTTTTTAATTGTTTATAAATTTTCAATTGACACATAGTAATGTTCCATATTTATTGGGCACAGTGTTTTTGCTTGTTTGTTTTAGCTTGTGAATACAATGGATAATGATCAGATCAAGATAATTAGCATATCTATCATCTGAAATGTTTATTTTTATTCTGTTGGGAATGTCCAAAATTCTCTTTTAGCTATTCTAAAATATATAATAAATTAACTATCATCACCCCACTGTGCTATAGAAATGGGGTTCCCAACCCTTAGGCCATGGACCAACATTGGCCCATGGCCTTTTAGAAACTGGCCCGCACAACAGGAATTGAGGGGCAGGTGATCCAGTAAAGATCTGTATTTACAGCCACTCCCCATCGCTCATAATACCTCTTGAACTCCACCCACTTCCTGTCAGATCAGCAGTGGCAATGGATTCTCACAGGACCCTGAACCCTATTGTAAACTGTACATGAAAGGGATTTAAGGTGTGTGTCCTTATGAGAATCTAATGCCTGATGATCTGAGGTGGAGGTGAAGCAGGATGCACTGGGAATTGGCTGGAAGTACTGTATTATTGTGAAATGTATAATTATTTCATTGTATATTACAATAATAGAAACAAAGTGCACAATAAATGTAATGTACTTGAATCATCCTGAGACCATTTCTCCTTATTACCAACCTCTAACCTCCTACCCTCTGGTCTGTGGAAAAATTGTCTTCCACAAAATTGGAATTTTTTCTTCCATAAAGTTTGGGGACCACTGCTATAGAACACTAGGAACTCTTTACCTAACTTTAATTTTGTATCTTTTAGCCAACATCTCTTTTTCCACTCCTCCCTTCCCTTGCCAGGCTCTAGTAATCAGTATTCAGTATTCTACTCTCTACCTCTATGAGAGCAACTTTTTTTTTTTTTTTTTTTTTTGGAGGGGTTTTTGCTATAGGGCACGTACACTCGCCAGGAAAACAGAGAGAGACAGAGAGATAGAAAGTGAGAAATCACCCTCAGGGGGGATGGCCATGCCGCAATCCCTTCTCCTCCATTCTCCTCTAGGGATCTTGTGCATGCACACAGCCACCCAGCATGAGTTTAAGCCACTGGGTCCGAGACTCGAACCATGGTTGATTACATGGGAGTCCAGTGACATAGCCATTACACCAACTGCTGGTCTCAAAAGCAACTTCTTAGTTTCCTCATTTAGAGTGAGAACATTGCAATATTTCTCTTTCCGTGCCTCAGTTATTTCACTTAATATATTATCAATGAGGCTAGCCCATGCTGCTTTGAATGACTGTATTTCATCCTTTTGATTGGCTGCTAGTATTCTATTGCATGTATGTAGTTATCCATTCATCTGTTGACAGATACCCAGGATGAGTTCATGTCTTGGCTCTTGTGAATAGTACAGGCAATATGTGTTTTTAAATACTTTTTTTTCTGGAGCAGTGCACTCATGCAGGCAGAGAGGGTGCTACTGCACAGTACTAAAAACTATGCAGAAGGCTCCAGGTTCATGTCCCAGGTCTGCTTAAACACACCGGGTGTGCCTGAGATCATGTCTGGCTGCAGGGACTGGAGGAATGGTGGTTTGAAGACCTGTTGTTGATGTCTGTATGTCTGTTTCTCTTTCTCAGGGAATAAACTTAAAAAAATACACACAAACACATACATATATACATACATACACACACACATGTTTTTCACTTTCTGGTTTCACCTCATTGTTAAAATAAGCTTAACTGTGTAGTGGTCTTCAGGTGTATGTCCCTCCCCTTTTTTGTTACTCTTCTGCTTATATTTTATCCAATTGGTACAACTTATTTTTTTGTTAGATCATACCCTTACCTTTGGAACATATCTTTGCTTACAGTTTTTTTTCTTCACCTTTTGGAATATTCCCTTCTTCATCTTTATCTTTTAAACTCCTACTCTACTTGGAGGTCCATTTTAAGCACTGTTTCCTCCATGAAGTCAGTTTTTTTTTACCAGATCTGATCTTTCCTTGCATCTTTTCATGACACTTGAACCTTTTATTCCAAAATTTAATTACATTTTGCTTCATTTGATTGTTACTGTCCTCATCTCTGATCATTGTAATTTACACAAAGAGATTATCTGTTAAGCGTCTTTTATAATTTATGAACTCACATATAGGTGTTGACTTACCTTTTTTCTACTGCTTTCAAATTATGATTTATTTTTTATTTATGATACAAAAGTTACTTGGAAATTTTATTCTTTCATTAATTAATTTTTTGTTTTTGTTTTTGTTTTTTTTTGTCAAGCAGTGACTTGCTAGTATTTGAAATGAATCAACCTTCGGTCTTAAATTACGTAATTTATTTCAGAATATTGCTGTGTATTTAAAGAAGATGGAATTTTCTCTGTTATTAAGTTAGTAATAATATTTGACAGATATTAGGGAAAAAACAGGATCTAGAAACTGGGCATTAAAGATACCTAGTTTAGGGACTAGCAGATGGCATGGTGGTTGAAGTGCTGGACATGCCCACATGGCTGACCACTGTTCAAGTCCTGGACCTGGTAGCTTGCTTTCTTACTTTCTCTCTCTCTCTCTGTGTCTTTCTCTGGTCAAATTAAAATAAATGAATGAATAAATAAAATAAAATAAAATAAATCTTTAAAAAATTAAAAAAAGATACCTAGTTTGCTCTTCAGTTCAATTTTTATTATTATTTGAAGGCAATATATAATATAAATTACATAGCAGAAGGATATTGTTTTGCTTTTTGTACATCCTCTGTTATGGCTAATTGTTGAAAATGTTAATAGAAACAGCAATAAGTATTCTGGACAGATGATAGTTTTTAAATATTTCTAAAACCCTATTAAGGCAGTGATGGTTGAACAAATCAAGACTTTGACATGAAGTATTAACATTATTAATAATGTAGAACAACGTTTTAAAAGACATAGATTGTATATCGTGACTCATAATTAAGATTTTTAATTTTCAAATTTTTGCATAAAAATATTTTTTTTTAATTTGATTTGAATTTTTTTAGTTCACAAAACCACCATCAGCCAATTTTCTTTTGGTGTTCCCTCTCTAAATCAAACTCGTATCTTCCTTGGCAATCTTTTAAATTCTTTGGTTTATTTCAGTAGCACAGACATTTTCAGGCTTTAATGTCTTTTAGTTAGCCTTAGTCTTTTGATATCCAGGTTGATTCCCAAAAGCTTTACTGATTTTTCTTTTGAAATGTTCCTGATGGGTATTTTCTTTCTTCTTTTTGCTGCTACAAACCTAGTCTAAGCCCTCACTACCTTGTAGTAATATAGTAATAACTTTGATTTCTCTAAACTTATCCTCTTCCCTCAAGTCCACCTAAATTTGGTTATTAGGTTTCCTTCAAATTTCATTTTTATATCCCTTCTCTTCTCAGAAATACTCTATGCATTCTTCATTCATAATTAAGAGTGTGCAATATTTAAGTCAAAATCATAAAATTGTTTTTTTTAATTGCCACAGGGCATGTGAGCTTGACAGAGAATGACAGAGAGACAGAGAGAAAGCACATTAATGGGGTGTTGTCATGCTGCATCCCTTCTCCATTTTACCATCCTGTTGGGATTTCGAGCACATACACACGTGCCCAGAATGTTTTTCAAGCCACAAGTTTTGGAATTCAAACCAGGTTGAGTTTCCCTTAACCAGCAGGCTACAAAGCCAGCTAATAATATCTGACCTTTTAAATAAAACTTCCATGACATAATTTGATATTTTCAAAATCGTTTATACTACTTATCAATATGTAAAAGTCATAGTATATTACTTTTTCCTTGTTTTTGACATAAATCATTCCTATTTCATGCCTTCTTTCATAATTATTTATGTTACTAGAGTTGCATTCCTTTCACTTGTCTGTCTATCCAAATGTATTCATTTTTCACAGTCCTCCTACTTTTTCCTATGTTTTATATAATGATTCTTTTCCTTTTCCTTCTTTCCTTCTTTCCTTCTGCCTCCCTCCCTCCCTCCGTTCCTTCCTTCCCTTCCTTCCTTTTTGGAGGTTTTTGATACGGCATGTACGCTTGCCAGGGTGGGGAGACAGACAGACAGTGAGTAGAAAAATGACAAATCACCCCACCCCACTCAGGAGGATGATCATGCTGCAATCCCTTCTTTATTCTACTCTCAGAATTTTGGGTGTACACGCACATGTGCCTGGTGTGAGTTTCAAGCTGCAGAGTCCAGGACTCAAACTGTAGTGGGAGTCCAGTGCCTTAATCAGGGCACCACCTCCTGGTCCTGCCTCCTTTTTTTAAAATCTTGCTCTCTGAGCACTTAAATATATTTGGATTTGTGTGGCTAGCTCTAGGTATATGTTTCTTTATCTCTTTAAATACAGTATACACTTTTCGTTGGTGATGAGAAGGATAGGAATTAAGTCTTCTTAAGTATTTCTTTTGAGGTTCTCAAATTAGTAGGCATTCAGTAAATATCGAATAAATACAATAAATATATTTACCACAGTGCTTATTATTAAGCCTAATTGAAGATTCAAGTGGTATTTGCTAATTGCTTAGAGAATTAAAGTCATAACAACATTTTTATCCCTCTCCACCATGTCTCACTCCGAAATTTTATTTCTGTCATCCCAATTTTTATGATTTTTCAGTGTTGTAATTTTTTTTTCTTTTTCTTAAGAGAGATTTTTGATATAGGGCATGTGTGCTTACAGAAGAGACAGAGAGACAGAAAGCAAGAAATCACCCTCTAGGGGGAATGGCCACTCTGCAATCCCTTCTCTTCCATTCTCCTCTTGGGATTTTGGGCACACACACACACATGCCCAGCATGAGTTTTAAATCACTGGATCTAGGACTCAGACCATGAATGACGATGTGGGAGTCCAGCAACGTAACCATTACTCCATCTGCTGATCCCTCTGTGTTGTAATATTGATCACAGACTATTTGGAAATTTTTGCAGTATATTTGTGTGTGTGTGTACACATATACACACATTTATTTATTTCATATTCTTTTTTTTTTTTAAATATTTTATTTTGTTCATTATTATTACTTTAATTTACTATAGGGCACGTGTGCTCACCAGAGATAGAGACAGAATATGAGAAAGCAAGCTGCCAGGTCCAGAACTTGAACCATGGTTGGCCATGTGGGAGTTCAGCATCTTAACCACTATGACACCTGCTATATTCTACATGGTTTATATTTCTATTTTTAAATAGTAGAATAGTATTCTAGTAGGTACATTTATTTATTAAGCTTTACTAGTTCCAGCTTTATTGGTTATTATGAAATTTTTACTGAAACCTCAGTATATACATCGATATATACTTAAAAATTTTTTTTTTAACTAGAGAGAATGTGCATGTGCCAGAGAGAGAGAGAGAGAGAGGGAGGCATTCTCCACAGAGCCCAACCATACTGTGATCCCCCTTCTTCAGTCCTTCAGCCTGACAGGAATCTAAGTATATATGCATGCACCCCACATATTTTCAGACCAGCTATGGTTGGCATGTGGCTCACAGCTCCATAGTCTGGGGTACTACTGACTGTACCATGGAGGCTAAACCTGACACTTAAATATTAATCATATTTAGTATTTTTAAAAACCTAACTCAGAATTTCATGTTTTTTTAGGCCTTTCGTGAAGGATCTAGAAAGTCATCAAGAGTTAAGGTAAATAAATTAAAGCTGTATTATCAATTGTCTGTTATTCGGAAACTTACAAAGTGGCTACTTGTCCATATCTTTACTACATACTCTTTTATTGTATGCTGTTTTATTGCTTATTAGAAGTGAAACCTTAGCAAATCCTAATTGGAATTAATATACCAGTCTTATAGTTTATTAACATGCCAAAACAATCAAAATCGGGGGGAGTATATAAGCATTTCTAATATTAAAATTTGAAGTAATTTGAATTTCATCTATCACTGCGATCCTTGTCTCAATACCACTCTTATTAGTATACTATACACATGAATGCAAATCACATTTGGAACTTAATTTATTCTTTTGCATAATTTGGATTCAAGTAATTAGTCAAGTTGGTTGTCCCACTATGAAATCACCATAGGCCCACCATGTGAATACAAACTAGTCACATATATCTTAATTAATTAGAATATATCTTCAATTTTTTAGAAGCTAAATTTGCTGAGGGAAGAAAATCACCCCAGCTCTGTTTCCTCCCTGAAACATAGATTTGTGTTGAGTCATAGAGGTCAGCTATATCATGTTTTTATAGCATTCTGAGTTATATAGTAAAGAAAAGATAATTTCTTAAATTATAAAATATTACTGGGTCATCAGAAAAGTCATGACATATTTTTCTGTGTTTTTCTATGAAAAAAATGCATCATGACGTTTCCAACAACCTTACGAATAGGATGTGGGGGACACCCTGTAGTATATCTGTTGTCCCATAAAGTGTAATATTATTAGTTATTTCACACTTCTGGAAACAAACCATCAAATAGCAGTCTCGTGATCATTCTTGCATAGTTTTATCATTCCTTTTCAAGAATATTAATAGCATAATGCAAGTCCAGTGTTTCATAAAATGTCCTTTATTTGCTAAAATTAGAGATTTATACTTATTGACTTTGACTTATGTAAAGATACAGAATGAAGAGTATGAAAAAGTTTTTCACCTAAGCTCTTGGAACTATTAATACTCCAGCAGTCCTCTTTTCCCAGTAGCTGATCACCTCAATACTAGGCTCAAGAGAAAAGAACATCTTTGACTTAACTGAAATTCATTCCTCTAGTACATAAAGAAGTGACTAGAGAAGCAAAACTTAAAAATTCTTTGTACATCTGAACATTCTTTCTATAACTTGAAGCTCCTTTAAAATCGTCACAACTTAATTAATAAGGCTCAGAGATGTAGAAGAACTGTGCCAAATCAGTAAGAGAATCTTTTTGGGGGCCCAAAGTAGAAATAAAAATTTCAAAATTGAATAGAGTCCTTTAACAAAGCACAGAGGAAAGCCTTAATATGTAGTGCTTCATATTTGTCTTAAAAATCTGTTCTTGGGACCCTCAGCTTAATGGCTATGTCGCTAAACTCCCATGTAATTGACCGCGGTTTGAGTGCTGGACCTGGTGGGTTAAGCTCATGCCGGGCACATGTGCGTGCGTGCCCAAGATCCTGAGGAGAATGGAGGAGAAGGGACTACAGCATGGCCATCCCCCCGGGGGATGATTTCTCGCTTTCTGTCTCTCTGTCTCTCTCTGTCTGTCTGGCGAGTGCATGCGCCCTATAGCAAAAAGCTCTAAAAAAAAAAAAAGGGAAAAAAATGTTCTTTATCAAATGGTCACTGTAGTGTAGAATATGTACATGCACAAAATATCAACTGGTAAAATAAGTCTACACTCATCAAATAGTTGAGCAGCTTACAATAACTGATACTTCATCATAAAAAACAGTGATACTTTTTGAAATAAAAATAGGTCACTCATATGGAAAATGGACTGATGGTACATTTTAGTTTATTTGTTACTTTGCACCTATATATATCTAACAGGCTATATAAGGACTTTTTGAAATCTGTGCATTATATTAAAATTTCATTAGATTGTACATGGTATAGAAATAATTTTTCATTAAGATATTCAGTATCATAGAAATTATGAACAGCATTTTACAACTATATTTTCATATGGAGAATTGATTTTTTAAACCTTGGAAATTGCACTAAATGAAGGTATCAACATGTAGTTCTGTTGTGAAACTTAAAAATTATAGTATATTGAAAAATAAATTTATATTTAATATGCATATATGGTTCACGTAATTGCAGATTTATCCTAGTCAAATAGGACTGTAAACACATAACAGTTCTTGGATTGTTGTTATAGAGTACATATTGGCCATCTCTAAAATCAGTCATTTCATTTACAATCTTATTAATACCTTCCATTTGGCTATGGTAGTGACAGTGAAGCTTGAATTTCATTTCAGCTTAACTCAGTGGCTTTCTGTTTTCCAATTCATGTTTGTTTGGCAAATAGGATAAAAATGTACTAGGTTGATTTTTTTTGAGAGAGAGATTTTCGCTATAGGGCGCGTGCGCTCGCCAGACAGACAGAGAGAGACATAGAGACAGAAAGCGAGAAATCATCCCCCAGGGGGGATGGTCACGCCGCAATCCCTTCTCCTCCATCCTCCTCTTGGGATCCTGGGCACACATACACACATGCGCCCGGCGTGAGTTTTAAGCCACCGGGTCCGGGACGCGAACCGCGGTCGACTACGTGGGAGTCCAGCGACATAGCCATTACGCTAACTGCTGGTTCCCTAGGTTGATAATTTATAGTCATCTTTCTCTAAGGCCAACTAGTGAATTAAGTTCTTTTATATAGATTGTATTAAATTCTTTTTTATATATTGCCAGTGATTTTTTTTTTTTTAATATGTGTGTGTAAATGCTTGAGTCACAATATTAATGCTTAGTTTGCTTTGATTTTAGGGTTCAGCTCCAGAGATTGATCCTTCATCTGATGGTTCAAATTTTGGATGGGAGACAAAAATCAAAGCATGGATGGATCGATATGAAGAGGCAAATAATAACCAGTATAGTGAGGGTGTTCAGAGGGAGGCACAAAGAATAGCTCTGAGATTAGGCAATGGAAATGAGAAAAAGGAGACAAATAAATCAGATTTGAATACTAACAATTTGCTCTTCAAACCTCCTGTAGAGGTAAATATATTATTTGTTTAAAAATAAATAAATAAAACAAAACCCTTTATGTTGTGCACCTTCGGTTTAACTAATCTCAACATTTATTCTGATTTTAGAGCCATATACAAAAGAATAAGAAAATTCTAAGATCTGCAAAAGATTTGCCACCTGATGCACTTATAATTGAATACAGAGGGAAGTTTATGCTGAGAGAACAGTTTGAAGCAAATGGGTATTTCTTTAAAAGGTATATTCATTTGTTTTCTGATGTTAATTTTATGTTGTTAAATATTGAAGTTTTGGCCATTTTACCTAGATGCTGTAATTATATGTATTTTGTTTCCATATGTGATCATTTTAGTGTTTAAAATTGCACTGTGGCTGAATAGTGACTAATGGCAATTTTTGAACTGTTAGAAACTGTAGTAATTTAAAAAAAAATTTGTGTGTGTCTTGCCCATCTCCCTCTTGTTGAAAATCATAAAACAATCCACTTCAAAGATAAACTGGGGGCCAGCAGGTGGCATGGTGGTTAAGGTGCTGGACTCCCACATGGCCAACTGCGGTTTGAGTACTGGCAGCTTGCTTTCTCACTTTCTCTTTCTCTCTCTCTCTCTGTCTCTGTCTCTGTCTCTTTCTGGTCAAATTGAAAAATAAAAAACAAATAAAATTAGATAAATAATTCTAAAAATAAAAAGAAAAGATAAACTGAAAGCAGTATAGTTCAGATAAAATAGTATAAAATACCAGTCAAGACTGTGATTGCCTCAGATTACAAGGAGCCCTTTCTATCCAGGATCTGTGCTAATGCTTCATAACATAATTGTCAGAACCTGAAAAGATCAGGGAGTACACTGATGAAACCTCTTCCTTTTTTTTTAATTTCAAATTTTTGCCTGAGGGTATATGTATGCTAGCCTAAGAGTGACAGAGAGAAAGTGAGAAAACAACCACAATAAAGAATAGTCTCGCAATTCCTTCTTTTCCATTTTTCCTTCCTCTTAGCATTTTGGGCATACATGCACATGTGCCCAACATGTTTATCAGGCTATTCGGTTAGGACCTTGAACTACCAAACTGTGCATTCAGCCTTGTGGGATCTAGCCACCTTAACCACCATACCACCCGCTGGCCTAAACCCCTTCCTCTTTATTAGTGTTATGTGTGATCCTGTGTTATTGCCACCACTTTCAACTTCCACTTTATAGCAATTAGAATTATTATTATTATTTTTTTTTTTGGAGAGGTTTTTGCTACAGGGCACGTGTCCTTGCCAGACAGACAGACAGAGAGAGACAGAGAGATAAAAAGTGAGAAATCACCCCCCAGGAGGGATGGCTACGCTGCAATCCCTTCTCCTCCATTCTCCTCTCAGGATCTTGGGCACGCATGCACATGCACCCGGCGTGAGTTCTAAGCCACCAGGTCTGGGATGCGAACCATGGTCGACTACGTGGGAGTCCAGCGATATAGCCATTACGCTAACTGCTGGTCCCATAATTAGAATGATTTTTGAGGCACTTTCTATGGTTTGGGATTTTTTGGGGGGAATTGATGTGATCTTCTGATTGTTTTTTTTTAATCTCTTGGGAGAAACATTTCCCATTTGTCCCACAGTTGTCAAAACGTTTCTTTAAAAAAATTTTTTTAATAATTTTTTTTAGGTTTTTGCCATAGGGTATATGTGCTTGCCAGAGAGAGACAGAGATAGTAAGGGGAAAGTGAGAAATCACCTGCTGGGTGGGGATGGCCATGCTGCTGTCCCTTCTCCATTCTCTCTTGGGATTTGGGGCAGGCATGCAAGCACATGCACCCAGTGTGATTTCCTTCCTTCCTTTCTTTTTTTAAGAGAGATTTTTTGGCATAGGGCGCCTATGCTTGCTGGAGAGAGACAGACAGAAAGTGAGAAATCACCTGCTGGGTGGGGATGGCCATGCTGCTGTCCCTTCTCCATTCTCCTCTTGGGATTTTGGGCATGCATATACATGCACCAGCGTGAGTTTTAAGCTGCCGAGTCCAGGATTCAAACCCCAGTTGTGTACGTGGGAGTTCAGTGACATAACCATAACACCATCTGCTGGTCCCTCCCAGGGTGATTTTCAAGCTGCCAGGCCCAGGACTTGAACTGTGGTCAGCCATGTGGGAGTCCAGTGTCTTTTTTTTTTTCCTCCCCTTGGGAGAGGGTTTTGCTATAGGGCGTGTGCACTTGTCAGAAAGAAAGAGACAGAGAGCCAGAAAGTGAGAAATCACCCACCGGGGGGGATGGCCACGTTGCAATCCCTTCTCTATTCTCCTCTCGGGATCTTGGGCACACATGCACACGCGCCTAGCTTGAGTTTAAGCCACCGGGTCTGGGACTTGAACCGCGGTCGACTACATGAGAGTTCAGCGACATAGCCATTACTCCAACTGCTGGTCTCATGGGAGTCTCATGTCTTAATCTTTTCTTTTCTTTTCTTTTCTTTTAAAGAGGAAGACATTTATGTACTTGCCAAATTAAGAAATAAAACATAAATTTAAAAAAAAATACTACCTGTTGGTCCTAAAACATTTGTTTATAACTTGAGTTTTACTTAAGATATGCATGCATGGTGATTGAGGCACTAGACTCTCACATAGGCCAACCACAGTTCGACTCCTGAACCTGGTGACATGCTTTCTCACTTTAACCCCCTCTCTCCAGATCCATCTCCAACAAATTAAAAAATAATAATAATAGAAGTTAATAAATATTTCTTTTAAAAAAAGATATGAAACTTAAAAGTATCATTCCCTATTTCATAGCAGATTTGGTCTGAAACATGTATAAAGGAAACACTTTTAAATACACCAGGATCTATGGACTTGAAAGGCCATTAAATGATGAATCATTCTATAAAGGCTATAGTCACTCCTTTTTTAAAAGAAATTTTTGTTAATTTGAATTTCCACCTTCAGTTTTCCCTTTGTTTTAGTAAGATTATAGGAGCAGGTAAAAGTCTTATTAGCATAAACTAGTGTAAGTTAAGGTGGTCTCTTGAATCAAACTGCCATATTCAAATATTGGCTTCACCTCTTAATGTAAATCTTTTAGAAGTTTATTGAATTCCCTGTTGTGAAGTTTCTCCATCAGTTTGCCTCTGAATAATAATAGATTCTTATACTAGAATATTAATAGCTTTTCATGTTTGTTTCTTTGTAGACCATACCCTTTTGTTTTATTCTACTCTAAATTTCATGGGCTAGAAATGTGTGTTGATGCAAGGACTTTCGGTAATGAGGCTCGATTCATCAGGCGTTCTTGTACACCCAATGCAGAGGTAAAGTTACAGAAATCTGATATGTGGAATCAGTATTAACCATAAGTCTGGCAGCCTAAAACGCTTTTCAACTGTTGATCCCTTTTATACTGCCCTGAGAATCTTTCTGTTATGAAAATTTAAGTTATACTAATACTGAGGTCTTAAAAATTACTTTGCAGATTGAACCTCTCTTTATCCTGAAAGTTGTATTTATGGATCAAATATATGCTATGATTTGATCAAATTAGGTGACAAAGCTGAAAGCTGAAGTATAATAGATTTTGTATATGCTACTATAAAATGTTTTATAAAACTCTTCTAGTGTGAAATGTAAAATAATGTTGAATTTGTGTTTTATATGTCAAAAAAAACCAAATTTTATATTTACATAATGTTGTACCTAAGAATTTAGTTTTGAGAAGCAGATTTAATAGCCAGGCTTGTCTGTGACTTACTAGCTTAAAATCTCATCTATGCCTCAGTTTTGTCTGTAAAAATGTGTGGTTTGAGAACTGCTGGTGATAACACTGTCTAGAACAGTGTTCTAGAAAAGTACATTAGTCATACTATTATTGTACTTCATCAAACCTAAAATGCTGTCACTTCTAAAAGTCACAATTTGTAAAGATGCTAAAAGGTGAAAAAACATACATTTTAAAAGTGATGAAAGAAAGTATATACACATATTTTTGGATGCCATATGGTGGCCATCAGGGGTGGGAGGTTGGTACTAGGCAGCAGCATACCTTTGAAAAACTTTCCCAATTGATAACCACTGATTTATAGTTCCAAGTTTTGTAATTAATGGCATATTTTCCAAGTTTTGTTCGTGAAGTCTTTTGAATAGTTTCTATAATTGTAGGATCAGATACTTCTAAAGGTAGAAAGTATTTAGGAAAATATAAAATTATTATTTTAACTAACAGGTGAGACATGAAATTGAAGATGGAACCATACATCTTTATATTTATTCTACACAAAGTATTCCGAAGGGAACTGAAATTACTATTGCCTTTGATTTTGATTATGGAAATTGGTAAGTTCATGTCTGTAAATGTATCACCAATTATTTCAAAACAGTTCTTTAATGTCCTTATAATATAGATAATATCATTGCTTTTATAGCCTTTCTTTTTTACTCATCATAAGTAGTTAAAAGAACTTAAAAACAAGCATTGTGTTATCAGCCTCCTTTATGTAATGGTTTAGCTTAATTCTTTTCTAAACCTTTCTTAACTATTAATGCACTGTAAATGGTCATTAATTATAATTAGTAATCCTAATTAAGCCATACAATGCTGAGCTTGTTTATGTAAGGACTTTATCTTTTACTTGTATTTCAAAGGATACCATTTTAGTCATACAATTTACTTATTAATCAATATGAACGAATAATTTCTTTTCCCTCTAAAATAAAATAAATTGTACCAAGTTTTCTTTGTGATATGACTTAAAAGGGTTTATTGAAGATTCTGCAAAGAAAGTCTGGAAACTCTTGTGAAACATTGGGGAAAAAATAAATATTAATTCTGAGTATACAAACTTCTATTTAAATTTTTTTTAATTTAATATATGAAAAAGAAGACATTGGGGCTGGCAGGTGGTGTGGTAGTTGAGGGTGCTAGACTCCCATATGGCCAACCATGGATTGAATGCCAGACCTGGCAGCTTGCTGTCTCACTTTCTCTCTCTCCGTCTTGCTCTGTCCCTCTCTGGTCAAATTAAAATAAATAAATAAATGCATAAAGTTAAATAAAATAATTCCTTTTTTTTTTTTTAAGAGAAGTTTTGGCTATAAGGTGCATGTGCTCACCAGAAAGACAGAGAGATAGAAAGTGAGAAATCACCTCCCAGGGGGACAGCCATGCCACAATCCCTCCTCCAGTCTCCTCTCAGGGTGTTGGGCATGCACACACATCCGCCCTGCATGAGTTTTAAACCACCAGATGCAGGACTCAAACCACAGTCGACTACATGGGAGTCCAGCGATGTAATCATTACACAGTCTGCTGGTCCCAATAAAATAATTCTTTTTTTTTTTTTAAAAGGAAGACATTTATGTACTTCCTTCCAAATTAAGAAATAAAACATTATCCAAGCCCCTCATTTTAGCTGCAAGATTGCATCTCTCTTTCCTCCTTAATTGATATCTTTAATTTTATATTTATTTAACATTTTACTATATATGTTAATATGCAGGATCTAGAATTTTCTGTGTATGTGTGAATAGACACATTAATTTACTTTCAGGTTTTTGCCATATGGCACGTGTGCTTACCAGAGAGAGAGGGAAAGTGAGATCACCCCTCAGGTGGGATGACCATGCCATAATCCCTTCTCTTCCATTCCCCTCCTGGGATTTTGGACATGTACACATTTGCCAGGCATAATTTTCAAGCCAGTTTGGGTCTAGGATTCAAACTGGTCAGCCCTGTGGAGTCTAGTGCCCTAACCACCATGTCACTGGCTTGCCCTACATACAATATGTTTGTAAACTTTATGTAAATCATAGCCTCCTGCATTCTTCTGCATTTATCTTTTCTGTTCTTTACATGAGATTAAGCTACTTGTTGCATTTATTTTCACTGTCAACGGCATTTATCTGTCCATTCCACAATTAATGGGTCTTCATATTTACAGTAAAAAAATGCTACTATGGCTTTTTGAACTTGTCTGCATGTATGCATGTTCTCTCCATTGTAGGGACTTAGGGATGAAATTACTGGGTTGTAGAATGTGCACAGCTATAGCTTTTATAGTTCTCCAAAGAAGGTTTATCAGTTTATATTCCCAGAAAATGTACTTTCTTACTCAACTCCTTCACGATAAAACTTTAAAAATTGATGCTAGAATGGTATCATATGTGTGTGTCTATAAATACATAGTATGTAGTATATAAACATATAAATAAGACATATGTATATTAAATATATGTAGTATGTATATTTAATAAAGTTTATTTCTTCCATGAGTGATACAGAGACAGAGAGACAATCACCCTGTTAAGGGTCCTCATGCTGCAGCTGCTCCCCAGTCTCAGGTGGCCCAGTGTACCCTAGCATAGTCAGGAAGGTGGTAGGATGCAAACCTCAGTACCTTTCCCATGTGGGTCTAGTTGTGCTACTACTGTACCACCACCCTGTTCTCATTCTATGTTAAAAGATTCAAAAGTTTTAATTTACTAGGTTTTTTTTTTTTTTTTTTGCCTTCGACATATTGCTAATTATCCTTATTTTTTTAATTTTACATTTTTAGAGAGATGTTTGCTAGGACACATGTGCTTGCTGGAGAGACAGAGACAAAAAGTGATAAATCACCCCCTTGGTGCAGTAATCCCTTCTCCACTCTCCTCTCGGGATTTTGGGCATGCATGCACATGTGCCCATCATGAGTTTTAAGCTGCCGGGTCTGGGACTTGAACCATGATTGACTATGTGGGAGTCCAGTGACATAACCATTACACTGTTCCCTAGTTATCCTTATTATTGAAGGCCCAATCTCTGGTCAAAGTCAACATCTGTTTATTACTTTTTCTTTTTTTTAAATGCCAGAAGGTGTGTACATATGCAAGGGAGAGAAAGTGCATGACAGAGAGAGCGCCCCTCAGTGGAGTGTTGGGGCTAGCCCTATTACATAAATTTCTGATCATTGTCATGAATGTCAATTAGTGAAGAAAAAAAGTTGCTTCTAACTAGAAAGTTCATCCAGTTTTGTGGAGATGCAAGTTAAAATGGATTAGAAAATTTCCTGTTTTATTTATATCTTGAACACATATTTAATTGGTTTTCTTTTCAGTAAGTACAAAGTGGACTGCGCATGCCTCAAAGAAAATCCAGAGTGCCCTGTTCTAAAACGTAGTTCTGAATCCACGGAAAACATCAATAGTGGTTATGAGACGAGGAGGAAAAAGGGAAAAAAAGAGAAAGAAATTTCAAAAGATAAAGATACACAAAATCAGAACATTACACTGGATTGTGAAGGGACAACCAACAAGATGAAGAGCCCAGAAACAAAACAGAGAAAGCTTTCTCCACTGAGATTATCAGTATCAAATAATCAGGTACTAAATTCTGCTGATTCTTGATTAAATTGAATTAACAAAAGAAAATAAGTGTCATATTTTAAACTTTGTTTTTTGTGAAATTATTTGTTTCTAAGTTCATTATGTTATTTAATGTAGTTATAGCTATGAGATACATGTTTTGCTAGAATTTGTGTAACATTTGTTGAAGTTATTTTTCTTACAAGGTGGAGGAAGGAAGGGTATTTTTGATAAGGTAAATTTCCATGTTGCTATTTTTGCCTCAGCCTCCTAGTTAGTTAAGACTCTGTGGTCCTAACATGTGTCTGGTCTGTATAGGTTGGGCTGGGAACCAAACCTGGTCCTCCTGTGCAGCTTTAGCTATCATGCAGTGGCCCCCTCCCAGTTGCACCCTGTGGCTGGGCTATATTTGTTATAATATTAAGAAACAACTGAGACAACAAATTCTTGCAGAATTGATAAGATTTTTCTAAAACTAGATGATTTTAAAAAATCATCTGGGCGGGAACCAGCAGTTAGCGTAATGGCTATGTCACTGGACTCCCATGTAGTTGACCGTGGTTCGCGTCCCGGACCCGGTGGCTTAAACTCACGCCGGGCACATGTGTGTGCGTGCCCAAGATCCCAAGAGGAGAATGGAGGAGAAGGGATTGCGGCGTGACCATCCCCTCTGGGGGGTGATTTCTTGCTTTCTGTCTCTCTGTCTGTCTGTCTCTGTCTGTCTGGCAAGCGCACACGCCCTATAGCAAAAACCTCTCAAAAAAAAAAATCATCTGGGTGGCACTTTCCATATGTTCATAATTTTTTATTTAAAGTTTTAAGCCATAATATTTCCATTCTTTAAATATCTGGACACAAGTAATAATTCTACAAGGGTGCCATGGTCGATAGCAGCTAAGCTGTCTGAGAGACCATTCCCTAAGAACACATGAAGTAATCTTATGAGTAGGACATAACCTATACTTTTGTCCCACTGAGAAAAATATTTGTTATTGGACCTTTAAGTAAAGTTAGGAGTAGACAATTGAGATGTGGAAATTAAAGTTTTAGTCTTGGTAGAGAGCATGCAGAAGGACAGAGAGAGAGAAAAGTACCTTTAGAGTCTCTTTGGGGCCATGGTCCCCCTCCTCCAGCCAGCCCCCAAAACTGCCAGAATCTTAGACACATATGCCCACTGTTTTTAGCCCTGCAGGGTGATCTGAACCCACACTTGGCCATTTTGGCTTCCAGCACCATAGTTTAGTTTGCTAGTGGCTAGGCTTCCTTTAAGTTATAAATTGAAGGACCAGCAATTGGTGTAATGGCTCTGTCATTGGACTCCCATGTAGTCGACTGTGGTTCGAGTCCCGGACCCGGTTGCTTAAACTCACTCCAGGTGTGTGTGTGTGTGTGCATGCCCAAGATCCCGAGAGGAGAAGGGATTGTGGCGTGGCGCCCAGGATCCCAAGAGGAGAATGGAGGAGAAGGGATTGCGGCGTGCCCATCCCCTCTGGGGGGTGATTTCTTGCTTTCTGTCTCTCTGTCTGTCTGTCTCTGTCTGTCTGGCAAGCGCACACGCCCTATAGCAAAAACCTCTCAAAAAAAAAAATCATCTGGGTGGCACTTTCCATATGTTCATAATTTTTTATTTAAAGTTTTAAGCCATAATATTTCCATTCTTTAAATATCTGGACACAAGTAATAATTCTACAAGGGTGCCATGGTCGATAGCAGCTAAGCTGTCTGAGAGACCATTCCCTAAGAACACATGAAGTAATCTTATGAGTAGGACATAACCTATACTTTTGTCCCACTGAGAAAAATATTTGTTATTGGACCTTTAAGTAAAGTTAGGAGTAGACAATTGAGATGTGGAAATTAAAGTTTTAGTCTTGGTAGAGAGCATGCAGAAGGACAGAGAGAGAGAAAAGTACCTTTAGAGTCTCTTTGGGGCCATGGTCCCCCTCCTCCAGCCAGCCCCCAAAACTGCCAGAATCTTAGACACATATGCCCACTGTTTTTAGCCCTGCAGGGTGATCTGAACCCACACTTGGCCATTTTGGCTTCCAGCACCATAGTTTAGTTTGCTAGTGGCTAGGCTTCCTTTAAGTTATAAATTGAAGGACCAGCAATTGGTGTAATGGCTCTGTCATTGGACTCCCATGTAGTCGACTGTGGTTCGAGTCCCGGACCCGGTTGCTTAAACTCACTCCAGGTGTGTGTGTGTGTGTGCATGCCCAAGATCCCGAGAGGAGAAGGGATTGTGGCGTGGCCATCCCTCCTGGAGGTGATTTCTCGCTTTCTGTCTCTGTCTCTCTCTGTCTTTCTGGTGAGCGTATGTGCCCTATAGCAAAAACCTCTCCCCCCCACAAAAAGTTAAAATAAAAATAAAATAAAATAAAAAATAAATTGAACAAACATTAATTGCGCACTTGGTATTTGTAGTTTTTAAAAAATAATTTATACCTTTATGAGAAGAATATAAACATAAAGCCATGCTATCACATTTGACCTTGTAGGCTCTTTATTGATATGAACTTTATTGACTAAAACTTTAAAAAGCGAAATTGTTTGTATGATTTTAAAAAGCTTGTAAAATTGGGAAACCAATTTTAAATTTCTTAAATGGATTTAAATAGGCTTGTCATTTCAATATATTGAATTTATTGTGGTTGAAAGACATTTAAATGGTTTGATATCCCTAGTTTATAGATGGAATAGTAGTTTCTATAAAGAAATTATTTTATTTTAGGAACCAGATTTCATTGATGATATAGAAGAAAAAACTCCTATTAGCAATGAAGTGGAAATGGAATCAGAAGAGCAGATTGCAGAAAGGAAAAGGAAGATGGTAAGTTGGGAAACCAGTAGCTGCTTTATATTGCTGCTTGGGCTTAGTGACAGCTGCTCTTCAGTAGTGATTGGTGCTGCATTGATAGGGTCTTTGAGGCTGTTCTTTGAAGTTAGCAAATTTGGGGCGTGATGTGCCATTCAATATTTGTATTTAGCTGTGTCATTACCATTTAAATAAATTCCACTGATCTATTGTATTTTTACTGGCTGTTCATTAGACACTAAGAATGTATGACATTTAAGAAATATTTTAACATTTTTGAAGCTGAGAACTATTAATAAATTTTAATGCCACAATTATGGTTCAAAATGTCTTTCATTAGCCAAATGTATCTTTTTTCTTCATGATTTGATTCAAGAGAACAAAAATGGAACTTTAAATTTGTAATAACACCAAATAAATGGCTGATTCCTTCCCTCCCCTAAAAAACAAAACAAAACAACCAACCACCATTCGGTGCCTATACATCCTCATACTATTATCATACAGTAAGATTTTAATTAAAATAAGTTTAGGATTTATATTTCTTATTTACTTGCAAATATTTCATCAGTCTTAAAACTGGGACAGGGTATTCTTTCTCAAATTGATGGTAATTTAGCATTTAGTTCAATGTTTAGGCCAGTTAAGAAAGTATCCTGGTATACTTTAAATGCCCTAAGATTTGAAAATGACTTTAAAAACAAGTGGCCTTAGTAAAGGTTTTCCCCATCCCCCTTTACATGTTCCTTTATTTACTGTTTTAGGGGTTTTCATGTCATAGTCCATGGAATCTCACTTGTCATATACTTGGGTGGGATCTTGAGTCTGTTTATCACCCTGATGGACATCCTTCAAGTATCAAATAATTGTTGATGTTCAAAATTGTGAAAGCAATTGAGGTCATGGTCTCAAGATTTCATAAACACTGTGAGGGAAAGTTAGTATTAGAGATAGGAGAGAAAAACAAATACAGGAGAAAATATTGGAGGAGGCTGATTATTTTTTGGAGAGGTTTTTGCTATAGGGTGCGTGCGCTCGCCAGACAGAGAGAGACAGAAAGTGAGAAATCACCCCCCAGGGGGAATGACCACACCGCAATCCCTTCTTCACCGTTCTGCTCTCCGGGATCTTGGGCACGCACGCACACGCACCCAGCATGAGCTTTAAGCCACCGGGTCCGGGACGCGAACCGCAGTCAACTACGTGTGAATCCAGCAACATAGCCATTACACTAACTGCTGGTCCCAAGAAAGTCTTATACCTAGAGGAATTATCTTGGACCATTTTCAAAATTCAGTTATATCTAAATTACCTGAACCTTCCCACATTAAACTATGGCCCTTCTTAGAGTACCAATTTTCAGCCTAGTAGTATCCTTATTCATGGTTTTGCTTTCCACGGTTTCAGTTACTCATAATCATTTACAGTCTGAAAATAGGTGAGTACAGAACAGTAACATATTTTGAGAAAGACCACATTCACATAACTTTTATTGCAGTATGTTGTAATTGTTCATCTCTAACTTATAAATGAAACTTTTATCATAGATATGTGTGTATGTATAGGGAAAAACAGCATAAGGACTTTAAAAATACATGGAATAATGGAATCAAGTACAAGTTTATTTTGTTACAAAAATTTTGAAATACATGACTAGCTTTTTCAAAATGTGCATTTCCCATAAACTTTTAAACTCCGTCTTGTACATAGGGTTTCCTACTCACTACAATTTCAGGTATCTGCAGGGGTTCTTGGAATACGTTCCTTGCTGATAAAAGACTACTTTTATGGAATTAAAAAGAATACTAGAAGTTTGTTCTTCCGCTATACAATAATTTTATTCAAATTGCATTATATTTAAAAGTTTTTATGACTATGGGTTTAAAATACATCCTCTTGGGCTAGTTCATGGCATGGTGGTGAAGGTGGCTTGGATCCCATCTGGCTGAATACATGGTTCAAGTCCTCAGCTGGCAATTTGAAAAACATGCAGGGATTATATGCATGTGTGTCCTCAATCCCAAGAGAATGAAGAAAATGGGTCATCCCTGCTGGGGGGCGGGGGTGTTTTCTCACTTCCCCCCTCTCTCTCTGTCGAGCATACTAGCCCTATAGCAAATTTTAAAATATATTTTAACATATATCCTCTATCAATTTTGAGAAAGTTAGTGAAATTTAGAACATCCTCATTTCTAGATCCCAGAAGAAAGTCAGGTAAATGGTGATGTTAAACTTTATAGAACTTAGAAAATACATACTGACTTACTTGGAAGCCATTTATGGTCTGATTTTGCTTATTAGTATATATGAAAAAATTTTATATCCATTTTGGTCTGTTTTGTTATCTGTCACTGAGATGACTATGATGCTGGATATTTTTTCAGGGGATAGAAGGTAGAAAACTTGGGTATAATGTTATAATTTGGTATTTTGAAAGATTATGAAATAACAGTGATAGAGAAAGAAAAAGTGAGAAAGCAAGACATCAGGTCTGGGACTCCAACCATGGTTGGCCATGTGGGAGTCCAGTGCCCTTAACCACCTGCTGGCCCCATAATCATATGTATTTATAAAGTTTCTTTCTCTTTTTTTCCTTCCCTATTTGCCAGAGGGCACATGTGCTTGCCAGTAAGAGAGAGAGAAGAAAAGTGAGAAAGCACATACCCATTGAAGGATGGTCCTAGGGGGACTAGTCACACTGCAATCTCTTCTCCCCAGTTTCTCCTTTCAAGATTTGAGCATGCATATGTGCCCAGAGTGTTTCTAGGACTTGAACCATGAAATCAACCACGTGGGGGACCAGCAGTTAGCATAATGGCTATGTCCCTGGACTCCCACGTAGTCGACCGGGGTTCGAGTCCCGGACCCGGTGGCTTAAACTCACGCCGGGCGTGTGTGCATGCGTGCCCAAGATCCTGAGAGGAGAATGGAGGAGAAGGGATTGCGGCGTGACCATCCCCCCTGGGGGGTGATTTCTCACTTTCTGTCTCTCTGTCTCTGTCTGTCTGGCAAGCGCACGCGCCCTATAGTGAAAACCTCTCCAAAAAAAAAAAAACAGCAATCAGCCACGGGGGATTCAGCTGCCTTAACTACTATGCCATAGGCTAGCTCTAAAGTTTATTTCTTTAATGAGAGAGAGAGACATTCCAACGAGGTCCCATGCCACATCCCTCCAACCACCCCACTACAGTCTAGATCACAGACATGTGTCCAGTGTATATAGGTCTTGGGATATCTTCCAAGGACCTTCCCATGTGGGCCCACTTGCATTATAGCTACACCATTGTCTGGCCCCAACAACCTGATATTTTTTACTCACACGTTTGCTTTGATGTTTAAATGATAGGATTTTGGAATGTAGTAAAATAAACAGCACGTAAAGGCATGTCATCCCAGAATTTTTTTTTTTTTGGAGAGGTTTTCGCTATAGGGCGCGTGTACTCGCCAGACAAGCAGAGAGAGACATAGAGCTAGAGCGAGAAATCGCCCCCCAGGGGGAGGATGGTCACGCCGCAATCCCTTCTCCTCCATTCTCCTCTCGGGATCTTGGGCACGCACACACACGCGCCCGGCTTGAGTTTTAAGCTACCAGGTCCGGGACGCAAACCGTGGTCGACTATGTGGGAGTCCAGTGACATAGCCATTATGCTAACTGCTGGTTCCCAATCCTAGAATTCTTAATCAATTACATGGCTTGTAACCTCCCAAAGCATTAATATTTGATATTGAAAAGTGCAAATATGAATCAGTCTTTATTTTTCTAGCCTTTTTTTAAAAATAATTATTCATTTAATTGTATTTATTATTATTATCTTTCAACTTGACGAGAGAGAGAGAGAGAGAGAGCGCCAGCCACCAGGTCTGGGACTCAAACAACAGTTGACCTTGTGGGAGTCTAATGCCCCTTCCACAAAACTACCTATCTATCCCTTGTCTTTGTCTTTCATATTGGAAAGATAAATTTGTATCAAAAAGTGACCACCTGGTGGTTAAAGGAGCAAGATTCCTACATGGCTGACAGCGATTCGAGTCCCAGACCTGGTGGCTTGCTTTCTCGCTTTCCCTTTTTCTGTCTGTCTGGTCAAATTAAAAAATAATAATAACTAATGGAATTAAATACATAATTCTTAAAAACAAAAAAGCAACCATTTAAAAAAAAAGAACAATTAAAACTAGACAAAATAAAAAATTATGTCAAACCACTGTCATTTTCTCCTGTGACAAGACAGACTTCTAAACCACTATAGATATGCTAGGAGATACCAACTATCACATACATTTACCAGATTGGAACAAGTCAGTCATACCTTCTTCCTAGATAAATTCCATGTAATCTCCAAATCCAAATATACTTCAGTCTATCCTTTTGTGGGATAGCTTGAATAATACGAAATTGTTGACAGTTGTTACCTATGTAAATGAAAATTTCATACATCACTTAAAAGTTGATGTCTTATAACGTTTCCAAAAACCGTACCAGTGAATTTATGTATTTCTGGTGTTGGCTTTGTTCTTTTTGATGAGAATAAGGTAGTGTCTCTGCCTTCAGGGGTATTTACAGAAAAATTACAATTCTTGAGAAGTGGTAGAGATAGAACATAGCTGACTATTTTATTAACTCTAGGGAGTCTGTATGTGTGGATTTTTAAAAAAGAGTTATTTAATTTATTCATTCTTTTAGTTTAACGTGATCAGAGAGATACAGAGAGGAAAGCGAGAAAGCAAGCTACCAGGTCTGGGACTTGGACTGTGGTCTGGGAGTGTCTAGTACATTAACCACCTCACACCCTGTTGGCCCTGTGTATATGTATTTCTGATAGCCTTTTTAAAAATGGCTAGGGAGAGAGTGGGCTCAACAGAGAGAGAGAGAGAGTACCCCTCAGTGACTGTGGTCATACTGCAACCCTTTTTTCCTCCATTTCTCCATCCTATCAGGAGTTGGGGTATACATGCATATATGCCTAGCTTGTTTTTCAAGCCTCTGAGGCCAAGAGTGGGACCAGCCCTATGCCTGG